TTTCTAACATTTGGAGGCCCAAGTATGACCTTTTTTAATTTTTAAGTTAAAATTTTAATTTTTAAGTTAAAATTTTAATTTTTAAATATAAATTAAAATTAATTTTTTTTAGAGTCCAAAATCGATATGCTTTATCTTAGAGTGGAGTATATAATTGGGTCGGGTTTTTATTTTTATTTTATTTTTCTAACATTTGGAGGCCCAAGTATGACCTTTTTTTCTTCTAAATTTTCTGGGCTTAAAAGTGGCCTTTTTCTCTTCTAAAGAGCTGATTTCAAAACTTACGGGGGCAAAAATATTTTGTGCGTCCTAAAGCGTAAATTTTTTTAAGTTCACTCACCCCCCTCCCTCCACCCTTGTGTTCCTACATTCAAAATTCTGGCGAAGCACTTAAGGCCTCTGTGATATGGAGGAATTGATGTTCATGGTCGCTGATTCAATGATTTTTTTGGGTTTTGGTGGCTGTTATGACAATAAGACTGCCTTAGATGAAAATGGCCAGGGGGTAGGGTCCCTCCTGGTTATAGGGCTCAAATGATAAGTATGACCCATGTCTCTTTCTGTTTCTACCTCGTTTACTAATTGAAAAAAAAAAAAAAAGAAAAAAAGAAAAGAAAAGAATTAAGCGAATAAGGCAGGCAGTGATCTTCTTAATCACCACTACCAAAATCAGTGTGTAATCCTCTGAAAAGTCAACCCTAAATCCCCATGCAAAGGTTTGATGATACTAATTTTTGTATGTTCGTCTAGCATCAGCTGATTTCAGGACAAACATGCACACTTTGTCATCGATGTTTTAACTTGCTTTGTTGCTTTACTCGATGACCTCCCAACATGTCTACTACATGTTAAATGGCTATCAGGAATTCAAACTCAATCCTAACGCAAAGGTTTTCACCCCATCACAAACAACTGTTAGGCCTCCATCACCAGTATCAGATGGTTCCTTCTATTATCCACCCAGCGTGTCTCCTGTAACGCGTATGCATGGCATGCCTGTTGGTTTTGGGTAAGTGTTTCTATACAAGTATACAACTAGATTGTCATAGCACTTTTTTTTTCCCTCATATTTTTTATTGGATATATCACTAAAAACTAGATTTGTTGTCAAACATTTAGCTTCGATTTTTGAATGTCCTCATAGGTTATCTTTTGTAATGTCTCCTGCAGACTAAGAGTTGAGTATTACTTGTACTCCTCATCACAATAAAATATTTGATTCATCTAAAAAATATAATTCTGTCAGTCTGTCAGCCATGCTTGTGGATTGGGCTTTTATTTAATTTAAAAATATTTTCCTGATAATTTTAGAAAATCATCTTTTTTGAGGTGCACTTTGATGGTGACATTTTAGATCAATTGTTGCTGCTTTCTTGTGTGACGGTTGTTCTCGGTATTGTCGGTTTCTTGCGTACATTTCTTTCTCCCTCTTGGATTATCACACACAGTAGCACACCTTTACTGCATTCGATACTATTTCAAGTGGCATTCATGTTTTGTCTTTTGCAAGTTTGCCACCTACCTTTTGTTGCTGTGATTCTATAATAGGTCCTGTTTGCCCATCTAGACTACCCTACTGATGAAATAAACACACCATGAAGTATAGGATGCCCTTTTGCTCTTCCATTTAAATTTAATAATATAGTTAAATGGCTGTCTGAGGGGTTCAATTGAGGTTGATTAGACCCTGTTTAACTAAATTTTCTATGCAAGGTTGATAAGACTTTGGGTGAGAAGGAGCAACACTGGCTCAATCCATGTTTGTCTCAGGACTCATTTCAGACTGAACCAATTTTCTGGGCTAATAGAATAGCCAGTCCATTCTGTTTATTTCCAATGTTTTAGGAGGCTTAGGCACCCTTCTGGATAGACTTAAATAGATCCATTGTGATACATGGTATGCATCATGGTTTTGGAGGTTCAAGCTTGACTCTGCAATATTTGTATGTTAGTGTATTGTGATAATACAGTAAAGCCATTGGTGTACGTTCTTAAATATGAGATTTTATTTTGTTCCAATAAAATGAGTTGCATTATCTGGAGTCTCGTTTTATTTCTACTTGCTTGTGGTTACTGGTGATGCATGGTATTTGCAGATTGGACCATCATTTGCTGCACACCAGCCTGTTATATTTAATCTGACAGTGGCACCAATGCAGTCACCACACGCAAGCTTTCATCCAAATGGACCTCAGGTAGAAACTGATTGCTGACTTTGCTATCATTATTTGGGTATCTTTACCTGTATTAATTATCTGTGCTCTTCTAATTCCAGTATGGGCAGCAGCAAATGTTTCTTGGGCAGTGTAGCCAAGCTACCAACCTGTAAGTATTTTGACATTGCATTGAATTTGTGAATAAACTTGTTTGTTCATTTCCGACTTATGTTACTTGGTATTTCTAAATCTTTTATCTGTCTCAATACTTGGAAAGAACTACTATTTCTTCTTGTAGTAAATGACAATTTCTAAACTAGTCTTTCTGTAAATGTAAAATGTTCTTTTTCTCAAGTGTGGATTTTACTTCGGTTTTAGGGGAGAGGGAAAAAAATGTTGTCTAGCGTTGCTGGAGAGTTACTTTTTGTTTTTACATATAGAAAATCGTGCATCTATGGTTCCTATGGACTTGAAACTGTTGTTGCAGGAAATGCCAGTTAGTTTGCTGACTTCATTCAGTTGTGATCCATTCTGCTCATAAAGAATAAACATCTGAGAGAGTGCTTGGATCAATTTTCTCGAAACAAAGCCGGGCAGCCCATTAAAGATCTTATAGTTACTCAACCTCATATGTTCTGAGTGATTGTTTTACACATCCTCAGAGATAATTTCATTACCTCGTATGCTTCATTCATACCCATGACACCATATGCCTTTAGATTTGTAGAATCTCTTGACTAACTTGTACCATCTGATTTGTTGTCTAATAGTGACAGTGTTTAGGATCAATTTGAAGCGTGCTCCATAAATTGTTTCTGTCCTTGGGTGTTGCTTTCTTTGCATTTCTTATATAGGATACAAGTAAGCGTGATAATTACTTCAGGAGTCTTTTATCTTCTCAATTTTTTTGATAATAGAGTCGCATTTTAGAATCCTACACTGG